CGTGACGGTGGGATTGTGGTGTAATCGAACATCCTCTGGAATAGGAAGGCTAGTGGCTAGGATATTTGATTCGCCGAGCTGACTTTGTGTGACGAATAGACATTTTGATAAAAAGCAATCATCTCCAAACTTTTTAGTTGTGTTAGGTAAAGCGATTGTTTCTGCGATAACCGTTTCATTTGATTACTCAAACTATGTTGGTAAATAGTTACTTTTACCATGCAATAAGCGGTTTTTGTTTATTTAGAAAATGGACATTCCTTGAATTACATCTAACTTGAGATCTTGCGGCGCATTTCGAATAAGGGTGTTTGCATTATCGCTGATAAGATAACCAGTATTTCTGGTTGAACGATAAATGCTTTAAAAATTCGATACGTTTATCAGTGCACAAATAAGCTTATTCCTTATTCGGATAACTAGTAATCTGACGTTGAACACAAAAGAAAATTTATTTGCTAATTTATCATATCATCAGATAAAGAAATCCAGGACTGAGCGACGTAGAAGAGAAATTTATGAAGAAAACGTATCCTTTTGTGTACTAAGTACTGTTTTGGTGCAATTAGCTAAGTCCAGATTATTTCTGACAAGTGACTTCTAAATAGGTGAACGGGAGAACTTAATTTAAGGAGCCATAGTTTGATTAAGTTGTAAAAAATGGCTAATCTGCATATTGCCAGTACATGATTCCGGAATCGATCAAGTGACTATTTTGACCTTGATGATCGATGTCACGCGTGTACCATTGAATTGTTTGTGAGAACTGGAATGATCCGGCGCCTATCACTTGAAGTTCAACGCAGACAACTGGCTGCCAAAGCTTTGGAGAACCGAGATTTTAAAGATTATGTAACTAGCAGTCGAATTCTCCCAGAAGAAACAACCTTTGATTATAACCCAATCCAGCTCGCTAAATACCTGGAAATACGTAGACGACGTCTGGATTCCAGCTTGCAACGTATAGCTTCTTGGAAAAAGCGAGATCTGGAAATGATAACTGATGACCATCTGCCTGTCGGAAGTGTACATATACCCCGGCCGGAATTGATAAATCAACCAAGGCGGCATTTCCGTGCCTACAGTTTACCTCGCGCATAATTTATTTCATCACTCTGAAAGAACAACCTTCGCATGCTGAAATTTATTCACTTAGAGAGGATAGTTTTCAGGTTCGTTTCAGACCTTGAGTACTACATGAACCTGTTCCCTTGCTTTCGATGTAATTTACATCCGTTTCTCGACAAGACCATTTCCATTCGTTTCTCAGTGGAATGCAAGAAAACATTCTTAGTTGTCGTTCACGGGTCTCACAAATTTGGTCTGTATGATTGATAAAAAATAACTTTGCACTGTATTACAGTTGTCCCTAATTTAACCAACCGTGGATCAGTGGTACTTGATATATATATACATATATATATATATATACATATATATATATATATATATATATATATATATATATATAT